CACACATACAAACATTTATATTTATTTATTCCATATTATGATAATGAATTAAATGCGTTCATAACCACTCATTTTAATAAAGCTAAAACTAACCTATCCTGCTGGGGCTGTGGTTTGCCCTCCATTGCTGTCAGAAGAGTGGGTGCAAGCTCACACTGTTTGGACACCTCCAATCTGGGATACCCCATCTTTATATAGATGATAGTGAAATTCTGCAAGCACAGAAACAGACAGTCATCACAATGATGGTCTTTATAATATGGAAACATAAACCGCTTGCATAAAAATCATGACCCATGTGAAGATCAAGTCACAAATTTCGAGCATTGAGAGCGGTGATAGTGATATGTGCGTGTTTGCAATCGTACCGTGACAAAAGATGCAGCGGATGGATCCTGATACTGAACCAACAGCGTCTCTACAGGCAGCTGGATCTTGGGTCGACTCTTTATTCTTTTGTTCAAGTGAACCAACAACTCCATAACCTGGAAAGTGCAATAACAAAGTCCAGATATTTCAACTGTTATTGAAATCATTCCCATGGCCACTCCTAAGTGAATATGTATCTATTAGCATGTATAAACATATGATATATGCACAAAACATTTATTTTCCTTTTTTAAATAATTGAAGTGGATATAAACCATAACAAAAAACAAGAGCAGGTCCAGACTACAAACTCACTTAAGTTACAATTACAAAACATAAAGTTGTAGGTAACAAGTGATAGTAACTTTTAACAACATTAATTACAAATGTCAAATAGTTTATAACACAAAAAAATATGGTTAATAATTAGTGAGTAAAAGAACCAAGCTAAATTTAAAATACGTTGTACTTCATATGTTTTCTGTTACTGGTTTACTGACCCCTAAACTTAAAACCTGCTTCATTACTAAACAGTTTACACACTTACTTTCTTGCGAACCCCCTCTTGCACACTTGATAGTTTGAGGAGGACAGGAGGCAGGAACTTAGATATAATATCCTGCAACTGCTCGTCTGTTTCAGCATGACCCAAGCGTAAAAACACACGCTCCAACTGGTCTATATTGAAAAAACAAAACAGAAGTGACAGATAGGTTAGTGTTTAAAACGAAACATGACTACCTAACCCAAATTCACCTGGATGGAAACATTTGTATATAACGTTACCATATATTTCACGTAAGTTTCCATGTTAATTATAAGAAACGCCAATCTTTATTCAAAAACTTTATTAAAGAGACAATGAGAATGACTGCAACGCATTCATGTCCCTGACAGAAGTGCATTTTACCGGCTCTCTGTGCAAGTATAAACAAATAAATTTTATTTAAAACTATAATACATGCTTGTTATGAACAATAGACAATAAACGAACTGTAAAAATATTAAAACAGTAAAAAAGAGAAGTTCACGTCGCTTCTTCGTTAGCCTGTGAGCTGAATAGCATCACTGCTAACTAACGTTAACGTTTATTATCTGCGTATTTATTTCATCCGCTGCCATTAAATGACAACCAACCCCGGTCCACTATGACATTCATATAAGGATAATTTCACAATACACAAAGACTGTAGCGTCGTCTAACAGAGATAAACAGATTAAAAGTACTTTCATTTTGGAGCATGACTGAGCATTGGGCCTCTAGTAAGCACATACTAGCCGGTTAGCTGCCAAACTGACATCCAATTTACAAATATTGTTTTCTGTAATCACCGGTAAGCAAACAAACAGCAAGGCGAACTCGGTCATTAAATGAGTGGTCACTTGTAAAAAGGGTTTTGAAAAGCAATCTGCAGAAATGAAGAAATAAAGCATATATAATGAGTTAAACTTACTGAGCTCGTCCTGCGCAGCCATGTTTGAAGTGAAGTCACCAGCAGCAGCAGCACTGCCACTCCTAACAATCTCTCTCTCTCTCTCTCTCTCTCTCTCTCTCTCTCTCTCTCTCTCTCTCTCTCTCTCTCTCTCTCTCTCATTTTCTGCGCCGTTATACTCGAGCTAGTTTAAATTTTTTATTGATATTTACCTTTGATGAAAAATTCTGCAATGCAATTTTTTATCCTGAAAGTCGTGTCAGGCATCATATCAGCAAATGAATCATTTCCGAGGTCTCTGGTTATTAGTTTCATGAAGATTTTTTAGCACATTTCTAAAAATTGGCACTTTCCCTGTTGATTTAACTTTTTAAAGAAATAAAAACAGTATATTACACACAGTATACTCTCTGTGGTAATTTGAAGAGTAGTCACACAAGTAAAGTAGATTAAAAATATTATGAAGAATGTTTGAGAAATGCTTGAGAAACAACATTTGGTTTGAATGAATGAATGAATGAATGAATGAATGAATGAATGAATGAATGAATGAACGAACGAATGACTTACCTTAGATTCCATGCTCTATACATTAAACTTATACAGGGAGTCTGTTGATAGTTTTCTGGCTAGATCTGCAAATAACTGAACGGAGCCTTGCTGCCTTTAAAAGATGGCATTTAAAAACATTTGAACATTTTCTATACATATTCCCACAAACAAACATACAAACAAACAATAAAGATATATTTAAATAAATGCTTATTTTACTTTTATGAATTTTTAGTTTCCAATTTATTATTAATTGAATTTTATTCAATTAATTTTACATTTTAATTCAATTAAATTGTTTTTTTTTTTCAGCTTAGTCACCACAGCGCAATGAACCAGCAACTTATCCAGCGGATGCCCTTCTAGCCGCAACCCAATGCTGGCAAGCACCCACACACTCTTGCACACACTCACATACACTATGGCCAATTTAGCTTATTCAGTTCATCTATACCGCATGTCTTTAGACCGTGGGGTAAACCAGAGCACCTGGAGGAAACCCATGCCAATACGGGGAGAACATGCAAACTCCACACAGAAACGTCAACTGACCCAGCCGGGGCTCGAACCAGTGACTTTCTTGCAGTGAGGCCATTGTGCTACCCATTGTGCTACCGTGCTGCCTCGTAACTGGATTTTATGTGCTGGTAAAACATTAATGAAAAACCTGCTGAAATGTTTTGTATTTTCAGAATAAAATAAAATAAAATAAAATTCACTAAGCAGCTCATAACTAAAGTTTCATGGAAAAAAAAAATACATTTTACAATGACAGGCTACACAAAATGAAACTGCTTGCCCGTGACACCCAATTTCAGTCTAATGGGGATGTTTAGTGGAGGATGAGCTGTGGAAACAGTGCTTGTGTTCCTCAAATGGGAAATGAAGTTTTTCCACTTCTTAGAAAATTGATAGAAGATAAACGAAATGCAATACAATTTATTTTTGTTTTTGATACTGTACAAACATGCTCTCAGATTACATTTTTTAAAAATATTTCATTATGTCATTTAATTATTATTATTATTATTACTATTATTATTATTAATAATAATAATAACAATAAGAAGAAGAAGAAGAAAAAGAAGAAGAAGAACCAGCATGTACAGTTTTCTTATACAACAAAATCACTTCATATTCTTAACAAGAATGGAATGAATGAGAAAAAAAGAGAAAAAAACATATGAAAGCATATACTCATTCATTTATTTTCTTTTTGACTCAGTCCTTTTATTTATCTGGGGTCGCCACAGTGGAATGAACCACTAACTTATCCATCATATGTTTTGCACAGCGGATGACCGTCCAGCTGCAACCCATCTCTAAGAAATATCCATACACACTTATTCACACTCATACGGACAATTTAGCCTATCCAATTCACTTATACTGCATGTCTTTGGGCTGTGGGGGAAACCGGAGCAAACGGAGAAACATACAAAACATGCAAACTCCACACAGAAATACCAACTGACCCAGCCGAGGCTCGAACCAGCAACCATCTTGCTGTGAGGCGACAGCACTGCCTACTGCACCATTGCGTCACCTTGGAAAGGGTACATAATTATCTAATTACATACAAATATATTACACATTTTTTCAATTTTAGTTATTAATAAGAGTTATTAAGCACGCAAAAATCTTAAAGGAGGAGCATATATTAACTGTTGATTGCTTCTCTATTTTTAGACATAGAAATCACTTTTACATACATTTGAATCTCTTTTTCTAGCACCATGAAGATGAAGATGTCTGCTTTTGGCCAACTTGGATTTATGTATGTGACATTTACATAATAATAAAATAAAGTTTATAATAAAACCAGCATCTTTTAAAGATTGATCCTTAACACAATAACCCAAAGTCACATGTTTATAAGATTAGTAAAAATATTTAAAAATAGTATGAGCAATAAAAGATTCAACACTAATCCAAAAAAGTCGAGTATATTGGCAAGACCAAAATAAATGTGAAATAGTTTCATTAAAGCTTTCACAAAAGCTGCATTCTAAATCAATATCTATTTTAAATGTTGTCATTTTTGTCAATAATTTCATTATTTTACTGCAGTGCTCTGATGACTAACAAGGACTTTTACTTTGAATGTGAAGCGCTTGCTATTTCCTGTGCAAACAGTAATTGTAGATTTTTAATAAGATAATTTCACTAGTGAAACAAATTTCGGTCAGATGTTTGTTTGCAGATGGAGAAGTTTGAGTGGAAAGTAACATTTGCAAATTTGTGATTTGCAAAAAAAGCATTTTTTACACAAATTATCTGAGAGCCCCTTACCAGATTAACATAACGTTAGTTTGCTTATTATTAATAACTAAATAGAGTCTTTATTTATATATTTTAGTAAGTCTGTTGGCAAGAATCGCCACAACATAAACACTGTAGGGGATGTTGGTCATTATTAGCTTTGCCAACAGCAAACGCGCGTGGCGTGGAAAAAGATGCAGAGATAAATATCACGTGCATCTGCACAGCAAAAGCCATGTTGCTAAACAACTGTGTCAGACGAGGGAAAAGTTGTCGTTGTCGTCCGTAGAAGATCATCCCCGCCTCCGTATGAATATGCGTGATCCCTGTTTTCCACGCCTTCAAAAACAAGAGAAATTCGCCAAGAAACACGAGATTTTGACCGGATGGGAGCTTTGTTTCTTCTCGTTACGCAAGAGAAAAGGGCAGCGATGAGCTCTACATCTGATCAAATGCTAGCTGGAAACAGTATTGTCCGAGGTAGGCTCGTTTGTTTTTGCAGTAATAATGGCAGCGTTGTGTGTTAGTCGCGCAGTTACGAAGTTGCCGTTGCTAAATCGATATTGTGATATTGTCGTTTGCCATATATTCCTTTCCATTTAACTTCATTCAAATGCATTTATGACCGTTCGCATTACTGTGCTCATTTTGCGACCTGTGTTGTTTCATTGCAAGCAGGTCTCTGCGTTTTGATGGTGTCTCATCCAAATTATTTGCTAAAAATAAATATGTTGCGTTGTATTGCACGTTGATTCTGTTGTAAATATGCCTGCATTCGTTGTCTGATTGCATTCTGTAGTTGAACCCTTTACATTTTTTTCAGTAACATGTTTTGACACCTGCTATAATATATAAAATATATATATAAAAAATTTAATTATTGTTTTCATAAACAGATTCTGATGAAAGGACCAGCGGTTCACCTTTGACCTACAACATGTTATTTATCTGTAAATAGATGCTTATTGTAAAAAAAAACAGCTTTATTTTTTTTTTAAATGAGACAGTGCATCCCTTTATTTGTTGATCAATGTAATATTGTACTTTTAAAAGTTGAAAAATCATCTTAAGCTTGCAGAAACATTACCATTCAAAAGTTTGGTGTCAGTAATATCTCAGCTGCTGTCTTTATTTTCGCTCACTAAGCTTCTCAACATGGAAAATAATTAGAAAAGTCAGCCATCACATTATTATTATTATTATTATTTTTTATATATATTCAAATTGAAAACTGTTATTGTGTATTGAAACTGTTATTTTGAGTTCCCCAATATTATTGATTATATTGAATTTCTGATGAATGTGGCCTTAGTGATGAGGCAAGTTAAATTTGTACTCAATCCACATTTTTTAAAATAGTAATGAAGTTGTATTTGAAAAAGCAAGACGTTGATAACAAATGTTAACATTAGTTTGCAGTGAGGCTATATTTAGCTTATAGGCTAACAATTAAGCGAACTGAAGTATTTAGCATCTTTGTGAGAAAAATTTTGATCACTCCTTATGCACTAGACAGATTTTTTTGTCCAATCAATTGCTATCCCATAGGGCTACACTATATATAGTTTTACCATCGATATGACATTGTAGGAATCTGCAAGTCACATTGCAGGATGTCAAGCAATTTCAAAGGAATTTAAACCATTTGGACCCAATATATTATAAAGTTTGCCACTTTAACAAAGATTGTTTAATTTTACAATGAAAAATATGCTTTGTTATTTTACATTTGATTATTGAATTTCTGTACCTCTATACACTTAGTCTTCGCTAAAAACCGTAAAGCACTGTTTATTCAATTTTTAGCTTTGTTCTATTTTTTTTAATTCTTGCTTTTATGTATTTTATTTTGTCTATATATATATTGTGTATAATTTTGTATGTTTTATGCAGATACACTCCAGTAAAACACAATCTAATCAATTAGAAATTCTTTTCAAGTAGAGTAATCTTGTGAAATATTTATATCAAAATATAAATCGCAGGAAAACTAAATATTGCAAAGTCAGTTTTATTGTGTAGCCCTGCAATCCAGAATGCATTTCCTGCAAGTATAACGTTATATCTGAAATTTATAATAATACAGTTTAAGGAAGGACTGAGAGGGACAAAAAAAATTGTCAGTGATGCTTTCAATTAGAATGACACTTTTCTACTCTAAAGCTGTTTTACAGTGTTTTTGTTTACTTGTGAATGTCTAACCTTGATAGAGTGATTAGAGGAAATGAACCAAAGAATATTTTCATATCAAAGGTGTACCTATTTTATATTAGCACCTAGTATCTACAAATTGTGTAATCACATTTTCACCTTGAAAAGTTATTTCAAATGCTTTCAATTTCAACAAGAAATATATCGGCACAGGAAATAAACCAGTAAATACAATGATAAATATATTTGATTTTATATTTAGGTGATCTGCCCAGGTGAGGTGGTGTGGCGCTGACCGATATGGAGGTGGGAGACCTGCCTGTCGAGCTTTGGCGCCTCATCTTGGCCTACTTGCCTCTGCCCGATCTAGGCCGCTGCTGTCTGGTGTGCAGGGCCTGGAGGGAGCTCATTTTGAGTTTGGATAGTACACGTTGGCGCCAGCTCTGTCTAGGATGCCCTGAATGTCGGCACCCAAATTGGCCTCGCCGCCCCCACCTGCCCCCGGCCTCCTGGAGAGAGGCTCTCCGTCAGCACGCTCTTGCCAGTCGTACTTGGACCCAGAACGGCTCAGACCTCCACTCGTCTGCCTGCCTCCACCTCTTCCGGCGGAGGAAAGACCGCAGGGTTTGGCATGTTGCTACTGTGGCGGGGGGCGGATATGAGAGTCTCAGGGGGGCACTGGCTGTGGCTGGCCCGTATGACAAGGTGGTGCTCCATCCGGGTGTATATGAGGAACAGGTGGAGGTGGCTCTTAAAGTGCCTGTGGAGATTGTTGGAATGGGCAAGCTGGGGGACGTGTCATTGTTGGTGAGCTTTGATCAACAGTGCCCAACGGCGAGGCTGTGCAATGTGGTCTTTATGCCAGCCTGGTTTTCACCTGTGGTTTATAAGGTAAGTCTTGATACTTAACAGCTGTTTATATTTCACCATAAACAAACATTGACAACACTTAGTTATACAGGAGTATTTGGAATATTCTAGACCAGGGGTCTCAAACTGCTGGCCCGTAAAGTTTTACTGCTGGCTGAATTGAACTTGTTAAAGTAAATGTAAATATATACATACTTTCCCCATCTTTGTTGTAGTTTTACAAAAAAATAGATATTGAGAAGAACAAGTTCTAGTAAAAAGTCACCAAAATTACCCAGTCAGCTTTCTGCTGTCTTAAGGCTGATTTATACTTCTGCGTCAAACGCCGGCGTATGCTACGGCGCTGACGCATAGCCCTTCGTCGTGGCCGTCGGCGTCTGACGTGCACCTCTCAAAAAATGTAACTACACGTCGCAACGACGCGTAGCGTAAGCTTTGTGATTGGTCGGCTTGGTAGCGCTGACGAGTCTGGGCGGGACCGAGAGCCGTGTGAATGGTGCGAGCCTGATGGAGCGATTGTTTACAAGTGTGGATCCGGATGGAAAATTTTGTTTTGTGTTTACCTCATAGTTAAAGTTGTTGCACGTCTGCTGGTTCCTGCCTCAGAATGAGCGAGTTTGAGCCACTTGTACATCCCGGAAGTGTTCGGGAAAAGCAAAACAGCAGCGCAGAAACTCGACACAGAGGAACATTTACACCTCACTGCCAACTAGCGTTTCGGAAGTGTAAATGCAGACCAACAAAGACAGCGCGCAGAAGTATAAATGCACAGCTACGGACATTGCATGCGCCGTGGGTTACGCCGGTTACTTGATGCAGAAGTATAAACCAGGCTTTACACTATCTGTTAAACTTTTGGTTAAGCGACAATTGATTGATTTATTAATTATTATTATTATGCCTGTTATTAAATTGTAGTATTTTCATAGCAATTTAAGCGTTACCCCTTCAATATGTACTACAAGAAACAAAAAGAAGGAGCTTTGACTGCATATACTCTGGGGAAGAATGTCTGAGTGCATCAGTTACATCAGGTTTCCGCTTTTGCTTGAATGTTAAAACAACCCTCCTATGAATTGTCAGTCACTGATATGGTCCCCAGCCAATTTGAGTTTGAGAACCCGGTTCTAGATCATGTTAAGAGGGGCTTTATCTTAATCCCCCTAAAAGTCTATGATGTATTCATTTGGCAAGTTGTCAGCATTCAATCTGTAAATGCCTCACCCCTTTAAATGTTTGTCTGATCCAGTTGTTTTAGTTCCTTTGTCTCTCTGCCTGTTTCTGTCTGTCTGTCTGTCTGTCTATCTGTATGACACTGCGTGTACTTATCTATCTGCCTGTATCACCAGTTTGTTTGTTTGTGTGTCTGTCTGTATCATCTGTCTTCTGTCTGTGTGTGTCCATCATATCTGTTTGTCTGTCTGTATATCTGTCTCTGTGTATTAGTCTGTCTGTGTCTGTCATATCTATCTGTCCTTTGTCTGTAAAAACAGCGACCTTCTTGCTTTTAGGCGACAGCACTACCTACTGCGCCACTGCGTCACCCTATTATTTATAACAATACATTTTATTAACATAATTAAAATCTTGACAGGACTCAGTTTTTCTAGTGCTATAATATTGTCTATGGTCTCTTTTTTTAGACATCTTCTGGGCATGTCCAGTTGGACAACTGTAACTTTGAGGGCTGTCAACTGCATATCCGTGGTCCAGGAACGTGCCAGGCTCGTTTCTGTTCTTTCGCCCAAGGCAGCTCTGCCCATTTTCTTGGTGTGACCATCAGTTTAATGGACAGTTGTGAATTCTCAGGGGGCGATTCTGCATCTGTCACTGTGGAAGGTCCTCCGGTCTCTGAACGAAACTGGGCGTTCAAACACCTGGTCGCCTTGGCCAAGACCTTCACCATGATGACTAGTATTGGGTCGACTGAAATGTCAAATCAAGGCAGGAAGGACAGTGTGAGCACTGGTAGTAATGGAAACTCCCCTTTTGAAGGAATTAACACAATGGAGGACTGGAGTAAACCGGAAGTAGATTGGGAAACAAACTGGGCAAAACAGAAAGGTGGAGATAGTCTCCTTCCAGGTCAGGATGGTACCATGATTGAGGAGGACGGCATGGAAACTTCTAGTGAATCAAGTGAAGAAGATGATGATGATGATCTAGATGGCGAGAAAAGCACAGGATTGAAACTCTCATATGACCAGCATGGATTAGCGCATCTCTCCATGACGGATATGCCCAATTCTGCGTTTCCTACGCTGTTGAATCTGTCTGCAGAGCTGCAGAAGGATGCAGAGGCACGGGATTTGGCTGCATCAGTTCAAGGCTGCCTGCTGCGTCGCTGTCTGCTACGGGATGGAAAAGGTGGTGTGCATCTGTGCAATCATGCTCAAGCTCGACTGGAGGCCAATGTGTTCAGGGGACTCAATTATGCAGTGCGCTGCATCCAGAATGCCAAAGTGCGTAAATCTTGAATTTAAATATTCTTCAAACTGACGTGTGGAGTTTTGTTGATGTTAAAACACCTTCAAGTTTTTTGTGTGCAGAAATGGCCGCAAATAAGCTTTTAGTTGGCTGATTTCCCTGAAAAATGTAAACATTGCAGCACATTATGCATGCTCATTTTTTCCTATTTTTAGATTCATTTAATTATTTTGTTTAAGAATAGTTTAAAATGAAAATACGCATGTGCTTGATCTTATTCTGAACAAACCACATTTTTAGCTTTAAACATTGTAAAACTGGAGTTTGTGAGAAAATCCTTTTTTGCTAAGATTTAGGTCTTTTACAATCATTTTATCTGTAAATGCACATTCATCTGGACACATTTTAAAATCCAGTTAACAACAACTGAAAAATGCCGTGTACAATATTCCGTTATAACATATTTTATTACAATGGAAAATTTAAAAGACTACTAGACTCAATTTTTATACTGTGTGGGAACACATTGATGGATATTTTTAACAATGTGTCCATGAGAAGATTTAAGATTGTTATCCTATATCTAATTATTATTATTATTATTATTATTATTATTATTATTTTATCAATTATCATTTATTGATTTATGAAGTTGTTTTACAATATGTTTTTATCTATATTGATCTTGCCATGAAAGAGCCATAAGTTGACATGGCATTTAATAAAAAACAAACAAACAAAAATATATTCTGTGGTAAGTGTATGCATGTTGTAGGAATGCAACGATTTGACAATTTTGACTGATATTGAAAACCCATAACTATAGATCATGACTGCAAAATCAAAAGGCAAACGGATACAGTGAACAACAGATTTAAAACAAAAAACTTCAATTAATTTACTTTTACTATTATTGAACTATTCTTTTAAATGGCCAACTTTCTTTTATGTAAATAAAATCTACAAAAAGCACAATAAAGCCATGATAAATTAGCAACAAAAAACAGTTTTATATTCTATTTTTTTGTGGCTGTTCTTATTGTAAATGCGTTTGTAGGAGTTTCTCTTTTAGATGTAAAATGAATGGAAAGGGTATTTAAACTAATCACACAATGGTTGTGATATACTTTTTACTGATGTTTTTGAGTTATTATTAAAAGACATGTGTTAACACATTTAGTGTCATCACAATATTATTATTAGCATGTTTGCGATCTAATTAGAGCCACTCTTTGAAGATCATGTTGTTTGTTATGTAAATGAGCTGCTGCGTCTGTGATCTGGAATTTGTGCATTGTCAGTACATCACCTTCAGAACTTTCCACTCCCATAGGCACGTTTATTGCATTGCACTCTACTGCTAATTTGCCCTGTTTGGTAAATGTGGCCTTTTGCTGGCTCTGTTTTGCTTTGACCCAGTTAGAAACCAGTAAGCTTGCAACTCAACACACTAAGGAAAATCAACCAATTGCCTTTTTAACAAAATGAGTAAACCTGTTGTCTTAAAATTAAGTAATTAACAATGTGCACAATTTTAAAATTAAGTTATTTTCAACCTAATTCCAAGATACAACAGGTTTACAATTTTAAAGGGATTAATTGCTTTTTAAAGTGTGCGTTTGTGTGTAGTGTGTGTGTGTGTGTGTAATGTGTGTATGTATATATATGTATATATGTATATGTATATATGTATGTATATATATATATATATATATAATTATATATATATATATATATAATTATATTATATATTATATATCATATATATATATATATATATATATATATATTATATAATTGTAATCGGGGTATAAATAAGTGTGTTAATAATACCCAAACAACTGCCCTTTCTGTTATCTATATATATATATATTTATTTTTTTATTTTTTTTATTTCATGCTGCTTCTAAAATGGAAATTACGCACCGAAAATAATTAATAACATTGTGCTGTTTCTGATCATATGCTCTTTTCATGTTTGAGTTCTTTCAACAGTGTCTCTCTCTTATGCTGTGTGTCTTTGTCTGTTTAGATGGTGATGTTGCGTAATGAAGTGTGTGGGTGCAAGGCATCTGGTGTGTTCCTGCGACTCTCCGCTCAAGGTCTCATCGCTGAGAACAACATTCACTCCAATGGAGAAGCAGGACTAGACATCCGCAAAGGGGCTAATCCTATCATACTGGTACACAGAAGATGCACAAATAAAACAGATAATGCTCAATTTGCTTTAGATTATGTTTGATTTCAATATGCCGATGATAAAATGAAGTTGATAAGATGTCCAGACAATATACAGTCAAAGTCTAAATTATTCGCCACCTTGTAAAATATAAATATTTTTTTAATTTTGCTCAAATGATGTTTCACTGAGTAAGGATTTTTCTCACAGTATTTCCAAAAGTTTTTTTTCTTCTGGAGAAAGTTTTCTTTGTTTTATTTCAACTAGAATAAAAAAAAAATTTAAAAACATTTTTAAGGTCAATATAATTAGCCCCCTTTTATTATGTTTCTGGCTAAATTGTTTTTCAATGAACCCTATAACCTTTTAACCCTAACGGATGACTTGCCAACATTGCCAGTAGACTCGTCCCTTGGGCAGATTCCAAAAAAATAAAAAATAAAAGATTCATCAGGCTAAAACTGAATGAATGCTTTGTTTTCACTAATAAATTGACTGCCAATTGACGTTATAACAGTCAAGGCCTTTGAGATGTGATGAATTAGACTTTACAAAGTAGTTTTTTAAGATCACAGCCTGAAATGAATAAGCTCTTGATGAAAATAACCTCGAGGCAATGCATCAGATAAAGCTATGACACATGCCCACTGAAATCAAAGCTAAAGATGATCTTAAAATGATTACCCTGAGGAGAACCACTTCGTTAAGTCTACTCCGGCACATCCTAAAGAAGGAATCTTATAGGGATCAGGTCAATTGGTGGTCAATTCACATGTGAAAATGATGCTGCCTTTCACAATTTAAGGTCAATAAAACTGGCATATGGCCTTGGGATATGTCTTCCAAGATTGCTGTTCAAGAACAACAAATGCTATAAATGGCATTACTTAGGGTAAAAAGATCTATTGCCAAATATAACAAGCCTGAAATGGTACATTTGGAACTAGTATAAAGATCCAATCATAAATTTTTAGATGTTTGATTGCTTAAAGTATAGGTATCCAAACTCGGTCCTGGAGGGCCAGTGTCCTGCAGCTCCAATTTCCTTCAACACACCTAACTGGTAGTTTTAGTATACCTAAAATAAGCTTGATGAGCTGGTTCAGGTGTGTTTAATTGGGGATGGAACAAAAATATGCAGGACACCGGGCCTCCAGGACCGAGTTTGGACAACCCCTGGCTTAAAGGGATAGTCACTGAAAAAATTAATTCATTATTTACTCACCATTCACTTGTTCAAAACCTTTTTGAGTTTCTTTCTTCTGTTGAACATCTGGTATCTGATGAAGATATTTTGAAAAATACTGGTTGCTCTAACCCTTTGACTTTCATAATATTTTTTTTCTTACTATGGAAGATGGTGGGTTCCAGCTACCAGCATTCTTCAAAATATCTTCTTTTTTTGTTCAACAGAAGAAAGGAACTCATAACGGTTTAAAACCACATGAGGAAGGGTGAACCATCTCTTTAAACCGAAGCAGTGATGGCTTTTTTTGGCTATGCATTGTATTATATCACAAAGTTTTGTCTCCTAAGTATGATTATTTTGTTGATGTTTTTGAATTTTGAATGGAAACAAGGCAAAGGCTAATTAAAGCATGCTTTTGTGTGGTGTCATGCATTTTTATTTATTGCTGTGGAAAGAAAGAAGTCTGGAAAAAACATTGGAATTTCCACCATCCCATAACATTTTCTGGTACATACTTTCTGTTTCTCTTTTCCTGGCTGCAGTGTAATAGAATCCATAGTGGCTTGCGTTCGGGGATCGTTGTTCTGGGCAACGGGAGAGGTTCCATTCGAAGCAACCAGATCTACGGCAACAAGGAAGCTGGCGTGTATATTCTTTTCAATGGCAACCCTGTGGTCAGGTAAGTGATGCATGTTTGTGTGTTTTAATTAGGGTGACCAGATAGAGAGTGAGAGTGTAATATGGGACGCACATAATAGAACAGATATAAAATACAGTGCTGAAATGCAAAACTTTGCTGGAAAGATAGAACAACTGATCAGACCAGTTTTAATGCATGTGCACTTGAACAATAATTTGGTCTCGAAAAATAATTTGAGTCTCGAATCTGATTGGCTGAGAGACATTAACAAATTGTAATGGTGATCTCTTTAGGCATAATTTGCTAACCTGAACAGCTTATTGATGCTTTTTTGTTTAATTTTAATATCTAAATTTTAGTAAGAAGAAAGAAACTCCTCTGGTTGCTCTTTTTGAGTTCAAGGCCTAAAAGGATTTTTCACCTAAAAATTTAAACATTTACTCACCCTCAGGTTATTAATGATGCATGTTAGTTTTGTTCCTCAGTAGAATGTTAAAGAAGATTTTAAGCTGAATCCGTAGTCCTTAGTGAGTCGTATAATGCAAAACCTGTGGTTTCAAACAAGTAACGTTAATTTTAGGTTTTAGATATTTGAATACATTGAACGTCTCTTCACAAACCAATAGTAATTATTTTTAGTTATATATGAATTATTTTTAGTTATACAAAAGTTAAATTATTATTTATTACAGTAAAGGATCTAAATGTTTGTTTGTGAACATGGTTATCAGCATTAATAATAATAGTATACTTTAACATTGTCTTAATTGAATGTGTACAGCATTACAGCATGGCTGATAACAACGAAGCAAAAAACACAAATTATAGTTACATGAACATACATACATACAGGAACCTGTAAATATAAAACAGAAAGACCTTATATATATATATATATATATATACACAGGGCTTTACATTAACTTATTAGATCACCAGCCACAGTGGCTAGTAGTTTTCCAACGTTACTAGCCACTTTGCATTTTCACTAGCCACAATTTTGTTGTTGGGAAATATTTTCATATGCATAAATAAGACTTTGACATGCTAAAATTACTTGATTTAGATTTTGTGTTATGTCTACATGCCTTCTCATTCATTTCACGTTGTGTGTCGTGTATGAGCAAATGGGTCATGGTTTCATCGTGTTATACTGCATGACTTTTCAGAACTCAAAATTAAGGATTTATCTCTGACCACACTAAACAATAATTATTTCTTAGCCACAAATTTTAAATGTGTCAAACAAGCTAAATATAGCTGTATACTATACTTTTTATTTAGCAAAACATTTATTTTAAAAACCAAAGAAAAGCAATTGACTTTTAAAAATAATTATTGTCATGTATTAAAAATTTGCACAGTAATCTGTCCTCGCTAAAGGTCTCTCAGATCAGTTAACTACACATAAATGGAGAGTTAATCTCATATTAAAGCAATGTTGCTGTAAAAAATGATAAACATATAAACAAAAATAACCGTAAGCAAAAGAAAGCAGGTGAAAAAGATACTGTGATAATGGAAGGATGATCACACGGTTAAGGCCAATTAATAATCTGTTCAAAGCGAAAGCAACTAGTGCTGCTTACAAAAAAACATATTTGGAGCTCTTGAAAGCAGCAAGACTGTGTGTGCAATAGCATTACTTTTTTGCCTGACAATTTGAAATAGATCCGATCACAGTTGAGTTCCAGGCACGCGTGCTTCAAGGAAGGAAAGAACAGTCGCGCGCATCACATCAGCTGTTAGCGCGAGTGATTATCCTCTCATTCGGTTTTCATCTGCTTTCTTCTGCTCGCGCGAATGCATTTTTTTTTTGTTAGTCGTGCTGTTTCTCTATTCTAAGATCACATTTGCACGCATATTGGGTCATTCTTATAGTCGAACCTTGCTTTTAAGAAAACCACAATTTAAAAATTATTTTCAACCAGCCAAAGTGGCTAGAGGGAGTGACTGTCTAACCCGCCAAAGCTGAAATCTACCCGCATTTGGCGGGTGTTAATGTAAAGCCCTGTATATATATATATATATATATATATATATATATATATATATATATATATATATATATATATATATATATATATATATATATATATACACAGTTGAAGTCAGAATTATTAGCCCCCCTGAATTATTAGCACCCCTGTTTATTTTTTTTCCCAATTTTTGTTTAATGGAGGGAAGATTGTTTCAGCACATTTCTAAGCATAGTAGTTTTAAAAACCTATTTCTAATAACTGATTTATTTTATCTTTGTCATGATGACAGTAAATCATATTTTACTTGATATTTTTCAAGACACTTCTATATAGCTTAAAGTGACATTTAAAGGCTTAACTAGGTTAATAAGGTGAACTAGGCAGGTTAGGGTAATTAGGCAATTTAGTCTACAGAACAAACCATCATTATAGAATATCATTTAACTGTATATATATATATATATATATATATATATATATATATATATATATATATATATATATATATATATATATATATATATATATATATATAATATGTCAGGGAAGTATATAAATGAAAAGAGTGTCTTATAAAATTCATGTTAAAAAGGCCAAACTGACTAAATAATTTGTTAATCTTAACATATTAATATTAATTAATTATTCTATACATTGGGCAAGGCTTAGGACTAAAATATGTCCGTCCAATTAAAATGTTCAGGCCAAACATTACGATAGGTAGGTTATATGAGCAGATGAAGATTTTGCATGTAGTGAGAGAAGTGCATTTTTAATGTAATCAGCTTAAAGTTAGCATTTTTCCAGATCTCTTTCCCAGAACTGCTCCTTTTACTGTAAATTTAAATGTTTGCGTGAACTGTCCCTTTAATGATGTACAGTGGTCCCTTGTTAATCGTGGGAGTTACGTTCTAAAAATAGCCTGCAAAGGTGAAATCCATGACGTAGTCCGGTTTATTTTTACAATTATTATATATGCTTTAAGGCTGTAAAGCCCGGCATGGAGGAGGTTGATTAACAATGGTCTACAGCCAATCAGGACGCAGAACACAATGCGCAAATTGGGACACAGAACACAATGCACTGTAAAAAAAGCATGTCAAATTGCACAAAAAAAAAAATCTGTGAAACTGCAAGACAGCGAAAGGTGAACTATGAACTATGAACTAACTTATGGCGAGGGACCACTGTACATACAAATGACATGAATGTCATTCAATGAGACTTGTAATTCATGTAATGTTTGTCATAAGGCCTATAATGCTCTGATTTCTGTTCCTTTTCTTTCCTCATGACAGTGGGAATCACATTTTCCAAGGACTTGCAGCAGGCATTGCTGTCAATGAGAACGGAAGAGGACTGATCACTGGTTTGTTTGGCTGCTGTGGCATTTTTTTTTCCATTTGCTGTTTCATTGTTTATTGAAGATTCAAGCACTTAAGTGCTCTGAAGTGTTTGCTCCTGCTCTTGACACCGCTCAATTAAATTACACTCAATCGATGTTCTGCTTCCGTGTCTGATAGAGAACGTGATTAGGCAGAATCAGTGGGGTGGTGCTGATATCCGTCGAGGAGGTGATCCAGTCCTCCGCAATAACTTCATCTGTTACGGCTATTCAGATGGAGTGGTGGTTGGAGAGAGAGGAAGGGGACTTGTTGAAGGCAATCACATATATGGTGGGCATGTTTCAGATTTTCCTCTCTGTAAGGTATTCGCTGATGATACGTTATTGGGTGTCGTTTTGGGTTGGGCTAATAAAAAAATATATTTAAAAAGCATCACAAAAAGTGTGTCTTAACATAAAAAACTAATTATTTTTAAAAATGTATTTGGTGCACAGCCAAACAATTACATGAGCAATATTGAACAAAAACTTAAAAATCTATCTAACAATAGATTTTGACAAGAAATAAAGACATTTAAAAAATAAAATGGTGGTTTAAATTACAGTAATACTTTGAGAACTGGTGTAAAATTGCTAATTTAATGAGTTAAATGTTTAGATTATAACATTATTTTAGTATTTTCATTATTATATTGCATTTAACAAATGAACTTTTTTCCCAGTACTAGGTTGCGGCTGGAAGGGTGGTAATAGTTGGCAGTTTTGGTGACCCCTGATATATAAGGAACTAAGCCGAAGCAAAAATATTGAACAAATGAAAGTGAAATAGTTTATTCAGATTCCTAAAATATATTTGAAAAACACAAATATCTAATTAATGATTTGTTTGAGGTCAGGTAAAGTACCAAAAAAGGGTGGCATGGTGGCTCAGTGGTTAGCGCTGTTAGCTCACAGCAAGATGATCGCATTTCTGTGTGTAGCTTGCATGTTGTTCCCGTGTTTCCTCTGGGTGCTCCAGTTTCCCCCACAGTCCAAAGACATGCACTATAGGTGAATTGAATAAACTAAATTGGCCATAGTGCAGGGGTCACCAAACTAGTTCCTGGAGGTCCGGTGTCCTGCATATTTGAGCTCCAACCCTAATCAAACACACCTGTACAAGCTAATCAAGGTCTTATTAGGTATACTTAAAACACCCAGGCAGGTGTGTTGAGGCAAGTTGGAGCTAAACCCTGCAGGGCACTGGACCTCCAGGAATGAGATTGGTGATTGGCCATAGTGTATGAGTGTGTGTGTGACAGTGTATGGATCTTTTCCTGTGCTGGGTTGGCTGGAAGGACATCCGCTGCATAAAACATTTGCTGGAATAGTTGGCGATTCATTCCGCTGTGGCAACCTCTGAAATAGAGATTAAAGCCAAAGGAAATTAATGAATGAATAGTACCACACTAAAATAATAGAGATCTTTTATGTTACTTTTAAATTATATTTATTGTGAAAAAGGGATCAAATAAAAAAGAGAAAATTCTGTTTTAAATAAATAAATAATATAAATTCCAACTGATTAAAAAAATGCTCATTGATTTTTATTTTTTGTTTTATTTAAAGCTGAAAACTGCTTTTATTATTTGATTAGATATAATACTATTAGAATGATCTTAACATTATTAATCTAATTTAACTAATAACCTAAAGTAGTACAGTAGTCAACATTTGAAGTGGATCAAAAAGCTTTTAAGAATTGACCTAAGACCAGAATAATGTTGTTCAATAAATTTACACCATTTTTATAATCCTTTTGGTCCCATTCAAATGTTGACTACTATATATTGAGAATAGTCATCATTGTTTAGATCAAAAAAGGGAAAAAAGACAATAATAATTCATATTTTGGTTGTGAAATTGTTCTGTGTTGTAGGCAACAGAGGCTGTGGAGTATGGGTAATGTCATCTAGTCTACCTCAGCTCATTGGAAATCACATTTCCCATAACCGCATGTATGGACTGGCCGTGTTCTGCCGAAAGGACACAGAGTCTGCCGTGAACCGGGAAGGCTACCGTGCATTACAGGACAGAGACAGAGGAGAACGGGACAACTTCAACGAGGAAGGAGAACTGATGGCCTGGGAGAGTGACATCGACAGCGAAGATGAGCGATTTTCCTCCAGGCGGCCAATCACAGTTGCTCTGGTGGAAAACAACTGCATTAGCCAAAATGGAGGTTAGTCTCTGGCCTATTTTACCTCTTCACACTAAAAAAAAGATATCTGCCATTTGTTCAAACTGCTTACTTCAATTAAGCTGAAAGAAAACGATTCTTAAGTTTTTTTTTTTTTTAGGACAACTTATTTGTCTTATGTTTAATCCACTTGTAAATACTATTAAGTTTGATTGTGTGGAACCCAGCATTCTTTACAATGCAGGGATGTTTAAATTGAGGTAAAGTTGGTTTTATATTTGCACATTTGTTCAGTGACCGCTTGTGATATGCTCCCTATATTGTTTACCACAGTATTTTGATTATTCGGTCTGAAATCACATGTAGATATGACTTTAAAACAACCGTAGCACTATTTATTTTTCTGTGAACAGTGTTGTATTTTGATAGTCATTAGCTGCTAATATGATTTCCTCATTTAGAATTTACAAAGAAAACTTTTATAAAATTATATTATTTGGAGAATTAAAAGGTCAGAATGTGTAAATATAAAAACCAACTTTACCTCGATGGTTAAAAATACTGACTAAATTATCGTTTTCTGATGCTTTGCTTAATGAAGAATTAATTGATGAATAACAAAACTAAATTGGTGATCAATATTGAGGTCTTCACATGATACTAGTAGGAAAAAAGCAAGATACTGTGGACAAAACTGAATTTTTTCTTTCATTTTAGTTGAAGCTCATTTTAGTTGGAGCTCTATAGATATATTTTGTTTATTTTATAGCTGTAAAATTTGTTAAATATGATTTGCCCTTTCTGTTCAGGTCTTTTAAATTATTAAAATAAGTTTGAATGAATGAATGAAAATAAAATGAATGAAAATAAAATGATTATTTAGTCTTTTTATTTTAGTCTTTTTATTTATCAGTTTATTTGACCTTTTGAGGCTCCATTTGTTTTGGTAAAACTGCTTTGGAAATATTTTTTTTAATGTTAAAGGAGCTATACAAATTTTTATGAACTTGAAAAAAAAATCTTTTTAATACATTAATAATAAATTATTTTCTGGAATTTTTACTTTTATTATTAATCTTACAGCACATTGGTTTCTATTAACTGTTAAAGTTAATATTGTGAAAACAACATTATTAACACTTTAGTGCTGCTGCTGCTACTACTACTACTACTATTAATAATAATAATAACAAATAATAATTGATAGTTAGACTACAATAAAATGAATTATACCATTTTAAATCTATCAAATGAAGCTGATATTGTTGTAATATAAATTATTAATAATAGCATAATACCACTACCATTTCTACTATTAATCATACTACTAATAATAAAGGATCTGTAATGATGATTAAACAATATTTTTTTCCTATTTTACTATTTAAGAAGTAAATTACTTTATTTACTTGTCATTGTACATGTATCCCTATTGATGATCCCATTAATTATATATTTTTATTATTAATTTACTGTTTAAATAACTTTTGTTTAATTGTCTAACTTGCTAAACATTTTTGTTGTTGTTTGTATTTGAATACAATAAAAGATGTGCTTTGGAACATAGTTATTATGTATGTACAGATATTTATATTATTGTTAATAATAATAATAATAATAATAATATTTAAAGCCCTCACAAACTCTTTTTATGTCCCAGGAATGCTAGTTCAACTTGCATGAATCACAAGAATGAAACCAATAAAAAATAACACGCATAATTTTGCCTAAAGGAGTGGTTAAAGGAGGTAACTAATTTGAAATAGTTTTTCAATATTTTAGAAATTAGAACTTTTTTGATACTTTAGAAATGTAATACTAAGAAGTAAGCTCTGTAACCATTATTTTTTATTTTGACTAACTTTTAAAAATTCATTTTTGTAACATCTGGAAGTCATAAGACTTCAAATTGATGTATAATGAAAGCACTATTCAGTAAAAAGCCCTATAAAATGTGTTTTATTTCTCCTCAATGATTCACTGTATATAACCTTACCTGAAAGTACTCTATGTATAAATATCTAGCTTAAACAGAGTTGTGAATGGCAGTGCATCTGCATATTAACAACAGTCCTTTGTGTTTGTGTGTGTTTCCAGCTGTGGGAGTGTTTGTGAAGAGCAGTGAGCCTCTGAATGTGGTGTCCAACATGGTGAAGAGTAACAGAGGAGCCGGTGTGTGTGTGATTCAGAGCGCTCAGCTCACGCGTCTGGTCGGGAACTGTGTCCTCTGTAATGGCTGGACAGGAGTTTCTGTTGACCGAGAATGTCGAGTGGAGCTGCGTGGAAATGGAGTTTACGGCAATACCTGTCACGGCGTCTGCTTCAGAGGAGATGGGCTCATTGTGGAAAACGATGTGGTGGACAACACTACTGGGGGAATACGAGTGATGGACAATGCCGATGTTAAAGTGAGTGTATATATATACAGTGTATATATAATGCATACATGTGGTAGTATATGTACAGATACAGTCACTCAATTTGTCACAAGGTTAAAAAGGTAATGTGTAAAATGTTTTCTTCACAGGCAGTAAAGGTAAATGCTCTTTGTTGATGTGTAGTAATATTAAACAATGACAGAGTTTGTTTTTTAGAGCAATAGTCATACTGGATGTTTTTGTTGGTGGTTATTTTTTATTTAACTATTAGCTAAACTTGTTTTGTTTTTCATCTTGACAGTAATGCTGTTAATAATTACTATTAATATTTTACTACGACTAATAATAATAATAATTTATATAATATTTTAGCTAAACCTTCAGTTTAGCATTTTGACAGTAATACTATTTTTTTTTTTTTTTTTTTTTATTTATGACTTTTATGGCAAATTACAGCAAAAAAGAAGACAAAACAGAATTACATTTCAAAAAGTATAGACAGTATCAACTTTGGCACATACAATATAAGAAAAAGGAAAAAAAATAATTAAAAATAAATAAATAAATAAAATAAATAAATAAATAGAAAAATAAAAATAAATAGTGTGGCTTAAATGAAACTACAGTTGTGCAATCTGAAGCACACAATACACTCTAATTTCGCATTTAGGAAAGAAAAAATAGATAAATCAATTTGCTGGAACAAGGACTTGGTCTGTAGTTGACAATAAAACATGTTCTTGGATATATTTCCTAAATGGGTCCCAAGTTTTTTTAAACTGATTAGATGAACCTCTAGACAGTCTAATTTTTTCCAACTTAACAAAAAATAAGACATCACGAATCCACTGTGTTGGGGTTGGAGGCTTCTGATCCTTCCACTTAAGCAATATTAGTCGTTTGGCCAGGAGCACAATAAAAGCTATGCTATCAGATTGTATTTTTGTAAGATTGTATGTTGTAGGCAAAATTCCAAACATGGCTATCAGTGGGCAAGGGGAGATGGATATACCCAAAAAACCAGATATAATTTTAAAAATAGTGCCCCAAAAGTAATTAAGCTTTATACAAGACCAAAACATATGTGCATGAGTGGCTGGGGTGAAATTACAGCGATTGCAGGCCGGGTCTATATGCTGAAAGTGTTTTGAGAGCTTTAGGTTTGTCCAGTGTACACGATGCACAATTTTGCACTGCAGAAGTCCATGCTTTGCGCAGACAGAGGACTTGTGAATTCTATATAAGACTGATTCCCAATCCTCATCTGAAATTGTGATTCCCAGATCATCTTCCCACACAGATTTTATTTGGGAATGGGATGTATTAGTTGGTGCCATAATTTTATAGTAGAGTGATGATATAATCCCTTTCCAAATTGTGGGCCTCTCCAGTAAATTATCAAATGAGGAGCTAGGAGGCAATACTGGAAAATGAGGGAACATTTTATGCACAAAATCGCGAATTTGGAGATAATGGAAAAAGTTTTTATTTGGAATATTAAATTTTTCACATATCTGTTGAAATGAAGAGAAAATTCCCTCCTGGTATAAGTCGTTTATTTCCTTAACACCTCTAGCATGCCAGGACGCAAATGATTTATCAATTATTGATGGACTAAAAACCGGATTAGAATGAATGGGAGATTTTGGAGATATAGTTTGCCAACCAAATTGACGTCTAATTTGTTTCCAAATTTTAAGTGTGGATCTTACCATCAAGTTTTTTGTATATTTGTCATAAGGGAAGGAAAGAGGAGCATAAACTAATGCTGCTAGGGAGGAGGGCAAGCATGAGGTAGATTCAATGGCTATCCATGATAAAGCATCAGCCCCAGGATCTTCGTAGAGCCAGTGAAGTATAGGACGAATATTTGAGGCCCAGTAGTAACATCTGAAATTAGGTAAAGACATTCCACCTCTAGACTTAGGATGTTGCAAAAGACTTTTACGCATTCTAGCAGGTTTACCATTCCATATAAATAAAGTGAGAGCACTGTCCAGCCTACGGAAAAAGGAATTAGGGATAAACACTGGGATACATTGAAATAAATAAATGAACTTGGGTAGCACATTCATTTTAATTGAGTTTATTCGACCTGCGACTGATAATGGAAGAGAGGCCCAACGCTTTAAATCTTGTTCAACTCGCTCCAGTAGGGGGAGGAAGTTTTCAGCAAAGAGCTTAAAATAAGCGTTAGATAAATGTATGCCGAGGTATATAAATGAATTTGATATCTTGAATGGGAAGGATGTAAAGGAAAACTCACGGGCAGCATTATTGATGGGAAATATTTCACTTTTCTGTAAATTCAATTTATAGCCAGATAGCCTGCCAAATGTATCAAACGTTTTGAGAATATGAGGCAAGGATTTAGATGGATCAGATACGTATAGCAGCAAGTCATCTGCATATAGAGACACTTTATGCTCTTGTCCTCCTCTTATTATACCAGCTATATTTGTGTTTTGACGCAGAGCAATGGCCAAAGGCTCTATTGCAACTGCAAATAAAAGAGGAGAGAGAGGGCAGCCCTGTCTTGTGCCTCGATTAATCTGAAAATATGCAGAAGAAATGTTATTGGTACGAACAGAGGCAAGTGGGGCTTTGTACAATAATCTGATCCAGGATATAAAATTTGCTCCAAAGCCAAAACTCTTAAGAGCATAAATTAAATAATCCCATTCCACTCTATCAAAAGCCTTCTCTGCATCAAGTGAAATCAAGACTTCAGGTACAGATGAAGACATAGGATGATAAATGATATTGAATAATCGTCTGATATTAAAGAATGAAAATCTGTTTTTAACAAAGCCAGTTTGGTCAGAGGAAATAATTTTGGGAAGAAGAGTTTCTAATCGTAGAGCAAAAATTTTGGCTAAGATTTTTACATCAGCATTTAAAAGTGATATTGGTCGATATGAACTGCACAACTGAGGGTCTTTGCCCTTTTTCAAAATTAAAGAAATTGAGGCTTCTCGCAAAGTCTGAGGAAGACAGGTTAGATCAAATGATTTGTTGTACATATTTAGTAAAAGAGGAGCTAGTTGTCCAGAAAAAGTCTTTAAAAATTCAGCTGGCAGACCATCTGGCCCAGGACTTTTGCCACTTTGCATTGCTGATATAGCATTGTGAACCTCATCTAAAGAAATAGGGCTGTCCAGAAATTTCATATCTTCAGAACTAATGCGAGGTATGGAAAGATCTTGGAAAAAGTTATGAAAGTCCACCTGATCAGAAATTTGTTCAGAAGAATACAATGACTGATAAAATTCTAAAAATGCGTTATTGATTTCACAGTGATCTGACAGTAGGATATCGTTTGCTTTAATAGTAGAGATTATGTGGGAGGCAGAGGACTGTCTAAGCTGGTGGGCTAAAAGTCTATGTGCCTTCTCTCCACATTCATAATAAGCATGCCTTGATTTTATTAACATCTCCTCTGCTGTAACAGTAGAAAGTGTGTCAAAATCAGCTTTTAAGAGGAGATATTCTTTAAGTATGTTTGGAGAAGGGCTATTTACATATTGATTTTCTAATTGGGAGATTTGATCTGTCAGATCTGCAATAGATTTTTTATATTTGTTCCTTTCAAATGATACATAAGATATAATTTGACCTCTAATGTAGGCTTTAAATGCTTCCCAAAGAGTGCTATGTGTGATGTCTGGAGAAGAATTAACCTGAACAAAAAAGTCTATTTGGGAGGAAATAATCTGGACAAAATCCTCAGTGGTTAATAGACGAACATTTAACCTCCAAAGTGGACGTTGAACATTTTTACACTCAAATTTAAGTCCTAAAGTGAGAGGAGAATGATCCGAAATGACTATTGCATTGTAAGTGCAATGCTGAACACATGGTAAGAGTTTGTTGTCAATTAAAAAATAATCAATCCGAGAAAAAGTCTGATGAGCATGAGAGAAGAAGGAATAACCACGTGTGAGTGGATTCAAGAATCGCCATACGTCTGTAACTGCATAATCATTAAGAAAGGAATTTATAATTTTAGCTGACTTTGAGAGAGCTGTTCCCCTTAGAGATGCTCTGTCAAGTTGAGGGTTCAAGCAGAGATTGAAATCTCCCCCAATAATCAAATATCTTGAATGTAAATTTGGTAAGAGGGAGAGAAATTTAATAAAAAAATTATCATCATCAAAATTTGGTGCGTAAATATTAGCCAATACAACCGGAGTATTAAAAAGTGATCCAGAGACAATGATATATCTACCATTACGGTCAGCCAGCACGTTTGATGTATTAAAAGGAATATCTTTATGAATAAGAATAGCCACTCCCCTTGCTCTACTGGTAAATAAGGAATGAAAAGATTGTGAGACCCATTTTCTACGTAACTTGGTGTGATCAGAAACATTAAGATGTGTTTCCTGTAAAAAAACTATTTTAGCTTGTAAATTATCCAAATGATTGATCACTTTGTTAAGCTTAGTGGGACGACCAAGTCCTTTCACATTCCAGCTTACAAAATTTATGATTTTACTTATTGATATACATTTTAAATAAATTATTGAAGATATCTTGAGATATTTTAAAACTTAACAGACAGAATGGATTGTGTAAAATACCAGTAGCCACAAGAAAAAAGAAACAGGGAAAAAAAATAAGTAAATAAAATAAAACAAAATTCTGAACTATAACACATTGATATCCCCCACCCACTTTAACACCTCCCTTAACTAGGTGTATATAAAACCCCATAAGACAAAAAGCACAGACGATGAACTTGTCGTCTAGGATGCGCTACGGAAAAGATAAGCGCGTCATCAGGTGAGAAAAAAAAAAATAAGCACGCAGACCACAAAGTGCAGTATGTGTCTAGATAGTGCTTAAAATTAAGGCAATAACCAAAGATTTTAAATCTGGTTATTAGGCTAATAAACAGTCAGATGCAGTGTTCTGTTTTTTAGAGAATGAAATAATAGTAGAACAATGGACTGGTCCAAGTAAAATGCAATCAGTTCTCCTTATTCCAAAGATAAAGTACCTTGCAAGAAAATCTGGAATGGACAGTCATCTCAGAAGATAGCCGACAAGTGATTTTCAGTTATTCAGGCATAACATTGGTCTTTGTTCCACTCGCGTCAGCTGCAAGGGTGTTTTTCACATATTCCATCGCTTTGAGGGGGTCCGTAAATAGCTGCTCTGTATTACCCGGCAAGGTAATTCGGAATCTGGCGGGATGACGAAAGCCAAATCGAGCCCCTTCAACGTTCCGTATGAATTTGCGCACTTCTCCAAAAGCCGCTCTTTTCTTGGCTTCGTTAGCCGTGAGATCAGGAAAGAGAAAGACGGGCTTTCCCTTGTATGTCAGCCTTCCTTCTTGACGCGCCGCTTGGAGAATCTGTTCACGAATATGGAAGAAGTGGACTCTAATGATGAAGGGCCTGGGTGGTTGACCCGGTTTGGGCTTTGGTTGAAGTGACCTGTGAGCTCGATCAAGCAGCGGCTTCTCCTCCATGTTCAACAGGTCGCGGAGAAAGTTTGAAACAAACTCCGTTGGACGGTTGCCTTCTTCTCCCTCGCTTATTCCGATCAGTCTGATGTTATTCCTCCTTGATCTGCTTTCAAGATCTTCACACTTTAAAGACAGAGCCGTAACCTCAGTCTGAAGTTTAGAGTCGGGGTTCAATCTTCAACTGGCTGGCAGGAGCCGCCAGTGGCGGGTCACATGACCTGCCACTGGCTGGTGGCAGCCGCCAGTGTCCAACTGTCAGGTAGCATGACCTGCCAGTGGCAGCGCATTTTACCCGGCAGTTGACAACTGGCAGCCAGAGCCTGGTTGGTGGCCTTCAACAACTGGCTGGTGGGTCAGGTGTCCTATTAGTGGCTGCTTGGTGGAAATTAACAACTGACTGGTGGGTCAGGTGTCCTACCAGTGGCTGTTTGGTGGACATTAACAACTGGCTGGTGGGTCAGGTGTCCTACCAGTGGCTGTTTGGTGGCCATTAACAACTGGCTGGTGAGTCAGGCGTCCTACCAGGGGCTGCTTGGTAGCAGTTGGCAACTGGTAGGTCATATGACCTTTCATTTCATCAAATGTGTTAACAATAAACAATATGAACATTTTTACAGATTTATTCTTAATGATGGTAATTTCTGAATGTTTATTACAAATAAAGTGTGCTCAAATCTACAAAATATGGAGGTCTGAGTTTGCTTCCCTTGCTTTTTTTAATTTCTCTGAAAGTAATATAATGGAGCTTTTCATTTAGGCATTGGGCACATTAAACTAGTTAATCAGACACAGCACTGAAATAGCTGTCAATACAACTGGCTGGTACTAACGTCTACCCAAGCAGCTCAGTTTAACAGTGCTTAAGCCCTCTGAGTGTGGCGTCTAATTAGCACTCTCTTTCTGGGGAATCAAATTATTAATTTATGAAATGTATAGTCTTCATGGTATTCTGGTTTACATACCTTATATTTGCAGCAAAAAAATTCCAAACAAGGTTTTCAAATGACCCTTTAACAGACTGGTGGGATATTGACGCTAATCAACTTGCAGTCACCAGCCAGTTAGCTCGGAGTTTTACGAGTTCACTTTCTCTTTCTCTGCAGCTGTTTACATTGATTTACCATCATGAATATAATCTTCTGGACCCTTTCTATTATAAATTGGGCATATTAGTCAGGTTTATTCCAGATACAGTGCTCAAAATTGCCATGATTACAACTGGCTGGTCACGCGCTGCTCCACCAGCGCACGCGCAGGTAATGCGTAAGCGCGATCACTATCTTAGTCTGGCGCGTGTCCTCGCGCTCTCTTCCAGATGAATTACATCTTTAATTCATGAAATGTGTATTCTTTTGTGTACACTTGTTTAGACATTTATAGCAGTGTTTCCTCAAAGAAACGCTTCAAACAGCTCTTAAACTGACCGGTGGGTTTGCAGCACTCTGCGTCACCAGCCAGTTAGCTCGGAGTTAGAGCCGAAGTTTAGCCACGGTAGTTTCAAGGTACGTTAAAGAATTGCTCGTTGCTGTCGCCGAATCCTCGACAGCTCTCAGCCGCTCCTCCTGCGAGCCAAGCGATTGTTGAATTGTGGCTACAGCTGAAGTCAACTCTTCCTTCACTCCGTTGATATCTGATTGTAGACCGCTGATCGCACTTTCAATTTTAATGCAAATGTCATTTTTTATAGACTCCAGCGATTGTTTAAACATTTCAGCTGAAAGTGGTTCTCCCTCGTGGGTACCTCGTGAGTCACCCGAGCTAACGTTAGCCGTATTAGCTCGTGTCTCTTTGCCACCTCGTTTGTTGCCAGGAGCAGCCATTCTACACACGATATCCACAAATTTACTGTCCGAACGTATGTATAAGCCGTGTCAAAGCACACTAAAGTTTGAAATTAACTTCTAGGTCTGATTATTTCTTAAATGAAATGTCACCTGTGAGGAGCTCACTGTGAACGCGTCTACATCGTATTCGCGCGACAGCGCCCCCTCCTGACAGTAATACTATTAATACTAATTGTATTAATTACTACTACTAGTAATAATAGTGAGCAGGCCCGGATTGGCTAATCGGGAGGACCGGGAGAATTCCCGGTGGGCCGGTCCGTTTTTTGGCCGCGAGGGCCGGTGTCCCTAGTTCCAGAATCGGTTGCTCTCAGCAGTCACACTTTTTTAAAAAATAATTTATTTATTTACTTGACCACAGCCTTCTTATTCATTATTTTACCGCAGCTCTGCTCTTTTTATCTATTTTCTCGTAGCCTTGTGAGCAGGATGCAAGCTGCAGTTTAATGATGATATAACAAGATACAACGTACAGCTGTTGTGGTACAGTGGTTAGTACGTTAGATTATGATGCGGCCAACCTGGGTTCGGTCCTTGTCTGAGTAACTTTTTTTTTTTTTTTTTTTTTTTTATTGTTAAGACAATACTGTAAGGGTTGTTGACCATTTGAAGTTCTAAAAGAGCTGTTTTCTCAAAAAAAGACGTGATAGTGTAATTTGAAACTGAATTGGAAATAACCTTATTTTAATATAGTCAGTGGTGAACTGAGGTGGGCCGGTCTGAGGCTTGAAACTCCAGGGCTGAAAAAGAGTCCCACTCCGGCCCTGATAGTGAGTGATAGTAAAGTAAACTGATATTGTTGTGCACTATTACTATCATAATGTCACGATAACCTTTTTCAAGGTATAAAGTCAAGGTTTTAAAACCGCCAACATCTTCTGTTATACCGTTCCTAAGGTTCCTAAGATATTTTTTTTTTACATTTATTTATTTTTTTACGTTTCCAGCAGAAAAGATATCTAATGCCATTTTAAATTGCAATGACATCAGTGTTTTTGAAACTAATGAAGATGGCAGAAGTCAATGATTCATTTGAATTATTTAGCATGACATGTTTACTGGTCCAAAATAATTCCAATGTTATTGTCTTTAAAATGGAAAAGTTTTTGTTTTTTACCCAGACATTTAAAAAGAATATATTTAAGAGCAGTGATCACAATACCGTAAAACCGTGATATTTTTATCCAAGGTTATCATACCGTCAGAATCATATACCGGCCCATGCCTACTCACTACTACTACTAACACTTCAATTTCCCATTATAGTACTAATAATAAATAATTAATTATAAAAATAATTCATAATAAATTTCTTGTTATTTGACAGTTTACTAGTATTAATAATATGTAATTATTATTATGCATAAATAATGATTAATAAATTATTTTTTAATTCAGAAGATCAATATTACTGATGCATGACACATTGATACTGTTGATTGTTATTATATATATCAATTTGATAGTTTTAAAATATTTTGTTATTATTGTATTATAATAAAAACATATCTAACTATTTACACAATTTGCAAAAACAAGATTGCAAGTTTTATTCATTCATTTTCTTTTTGACTTAGTCCCTTTATTAACCCGGGGTCACCACACCAGAATGAAAAGCCAACTTACCCAGCATATGTTTTACACAGCGAATGCCCTTCCAGCTGCAACCCATCACTGGAAAACATCAATACACACTCATTCACATTCACACACTACGACCAATTTTGTTCATTCAGTTCACCTTTATCGCATGTCTTTGGACTGTGAGCACCCGAAGGAAACCCACACCAACACGGGAAGAGCATGCAAACTCCACAGAGAAATGCCAACTGACCCAGCCACCTTATTGCTGTGAGGCTACCCACTGCACTACCATGCAGCCCGCAAAAGTTTTATATTATGATTATTATTTGACCATAAAAAATAGCTTTTAATGCAACATTGTTGTTAATAAAAATAAGGATTACCTTGAGAAACTCCTGTTACATAAAATAAATGCCAGTCAAGCTCAAGCATGAATTATATGATTGAAACAGTTTCATATTTATAAAATCACATGTCTTATAGAGACATTAAAGGAGGCAACTTGTATGTGTGTGTATTAACTTTCGTCACAATTTATGCTATTGGCTACTTGCTTATTGCTGACCTGTTATTAAGATAGTAACTGTTCATAATATAATGTATGATCTTAATCTACATCCTCAATCCTACCCAAAACAAAAACACAACTTCTATCTTACTAACTATTAATAAACGGCGAAGTAGATGTTTATTAAGTTGGTAGTATTAGTTAATAGTTTAAATCTGTGAATTGTGACCTAAACTAAAGTGAATGGTTATAAGCTTTGTAACCATTCATTTATTATCATTGAAGTCTACCCGTTTAGCAAAGGTTTTGGACACAGCTCGAGTACTGTGTTACCTGCAAATGTCGTAAAAAATGTCTCTGCTATCATATGTTGACGTTTGCTTTGTGTTTTGCAGGTGTTGAGGAATCGTGTTCAGGCGGTGCGAGGGTATGGGATTTCTGTGAAGCAGCTGGCTCGAGGTGTGGTTCAGGAAAACCTGGTTTATCAGAGCCGCCCTACGACCACTAAAACCCCCATTCGGACAAATGCACAAAACCTGGAGTGTGTCGTACTTAACAACTCTCTGCTCACACCCAGGTTAGACTCGCTCACACACTTTAAGAAATAATGTGTCACAAATCTATGTTTCAGCGCTGGTTGCATTTCACCATTCACCACAAATAAAGGATTAGTAAGCTCACCTTACTGTACAAACACACATATAGCCTGTGACTGCTGTCATTTAATGTACAAATAAACATAGACATCGATGCGTGTATATATATAGTGCATCCGGAAAGTATTCATAGTTTCACTTTTTCCACATTCCCACCATTCGGTGCCTGGTTTTCTCCAAACATAACGTCTGGCATTCACTCATAAGAGTTAATTTTTAATCTCATCAGACCAGAGTATTTTGTTTTTTATGGTCTGAGGGTCCTTCAGATGCCTTTTGGCAGATTCCAGGCTGGGAGTGGCTTTCGTCTGGCCACTCTACCATACAAGCCTGATTGGTGGATTGCTGCACAGATGGTTGTCCTTCTGTAAGGTTCTCCTCTCTCCACAAAAGAACGCTGGTGCTCAGACCGAGTGACCATCGGGTTATTTATCACCTCCCTGACTAAGGCCTTGAGTCCTGGTGATTCCAAACATGTTCCACTTATGGATGATGGAGGCCACTGTGCTCATTGGAATTTTTAGAGCAGAAATTTTTCTGTAACCTTTCCCAGCCGTGTGCCTCGAGACAATTCTGTCTCGGAGGTCTACAGACAAGTTCTGTACATATACATACACACACACACACACACACACACACACACACACACACACACACAGTTGAAGTCAGAATTATTAGCCCCCTTTTGATTTTATTTATTTATTTTTTATATTTCCCAAATTATGTTTAACAGAGCAAGAAAATTTTCACAGTATGTCTGATAATATTTTTTCTTCTAAAGAAATTCTTATTTGTTTGATTTTGCCTAGATTAAAAGCAGTTATTATTTTTTTATAAACCATTTTTGGGACAAAACTATTAGCCCCTTTAAGCAATTTTTCAATAATCTTTAAAAATAATTCAATAATCTACAGAACAAATCATCGTTATACAATAACTTGCCTAATTACCCTAACCTGCCTAGTTCACCTTATTAAGCTAGTTAAGCCTTTAAATGTCACATTAAGCTGTATAGAAGTGTCTTGAAAAATATCAAGTAAAATATTATTTACTGTCATCATGTCAAAGATAAAATAAATCCGTTATTAGAAATAAGTTTTTAAAACTATTATGATGAAATATGCTGAAACAATCTTCCCTCCATTAAACAGAAATTGGTCAAAAAAATGAACAGGGGCGCTAATAATTCAGGGGGGCTAATAATTCTGACTTCAACTATATATATATATATATATATATATATATATATATATATATATATATATATATATATATATATATATATATATATATATATATATATATATACATACTTTTACCAAATTTATTAATTATAGTTCAACAATTACTAACATGTCATTAAATTCCAAATTTGTACTTGTTTAAATTAGTTAATCTTCTATCAAGGACAAACAACTATGTATTCATGAACTGATGTTAACAAAGATAGGTAAATATTGCAATGGATGCATTGTTCATTGTTTGTTCATTTTTCAAAATACATTAACTGGCATTAATTGCACCTCATTTTTAATTGTTACCTGGCTATTTGATTGATCATTATCAGCCTGTTTAACTTTCTTCTGCTTGAAAAAAAAAAGATTTTTAAAGAATTTACAGTTCTGGTACTCCTTTATGCACATTTTATAGACGAGAGTTCACAGTGGAAGTCAATGGGAACCAGAAAAGTGGAAAAAGTCTTGGATACTTTTAATCCATGAACATTTATCTCTCTCAGTGTATGTGATTGTACTAAATTGAAGCATCTGTCAGCAAAGCAACATGTGCTTTCATGAATAATTTATTAAAGTGTTTCCGGATTGAATAAGGACACACGGTCTCATGAATAATAATGAGACACGGACACTTCACAAAGTACAACTGTACAGTCCCAGGTCAATTCCCAAGATGCAATGCAGATTTTAAACCAGAGAGAAGAAAACAGCCGTCCAAAAAATAAAAAAACAAACCAGTTTTTGACTCTTCTGAATCATAGAAATACCTTAATAAGTTTGCAGATATTAAGGAATCATGCTAAGTGAACATTTTTGTTTATCTGAAAAACAATGTTAAGTTAGTTATTCTCCTTTTGAAATAGTCAGTGTTGAAATGTCTGTCTTTGTTTTTGTCTCTATAAACCGCCTACTGTCAGTTTACCCAATTATTTATGAGCACCCTGGATTCCCTTGGTGGAAAACGCACTGTATTTAATTTCAGTCATGAAGGCTGCATCATTGTATGTGGCCGCTTCTGAAAACGTGACCTCTGGAGGACTGTAGCAGCCTTCATACATTAAAAAAATCTATTCAAGTTTTACAGTATAACTGAAGAGAAATCTGTGCAAAAAATGAATATGAATCATACAGAAAAATAACCTTTTAAAAGGTTAAAATTCAGAAACGTATATATCAGGGATGATTTCCGATAGTAGTATTGTTGTAGAAGCAACCCTATTTTAATATCAGACAAAACCAAAAATCCATTTTTATTTAGCATCAGATTTCTGAGCATCACTGATGATATGGAAAATATTATGCTTGACCTGTGTTACTCTTGTCTGTTGTAGATCACAAGCACTTTGGGCCCTGGAAAACCCACCTGCTCGTCCCCACAACAGTAACCCCTCCAGTGTGACACCCTCCACAATCCCTGCTCATCTTGCGCTCACCATGACAAACCGAATCACTGCCTCTGTTGAAAGCGGCTGTCATAATAACGGCAGCATCTTTTGCTCCATTTTATGAGGTTGGAGCTCAACAACAACAGATGAAAATTCTTGAAATTGTCCCCCCAGTGAGTGACTTTTGATTTGGATGATGGACAATCAGATTAAGCATCAAGCACTTGACCATCAAATGATCAAAGAGCACTTTTTTATATATATGATTACGATTAACCAAAGGTAGGTTGTTTAGCAGTCTGCTTCTCAAACTATGAAGGAATAAATCCACTTGAAATGAATTATTCCACTTGCTCAATATGGAAATGAAGCTGGTCTGGGATCAGTGTTTACAATCCACCTACTGGAATCTTTATGGTATACCTGAATTCTGTTTGCGTACCAATCCAACTGCCACTTCATCCATTACAGGACAGGTTTTTGTTGGATTTGCTGGAAGCCAATATAGGTACATTTTAAATCTTCTAAATCACATGCATTTTGTTGTCCCGTGAACCTACAGCCTGTTATTATTTCAGCACAAAGTCAGGAGGGAGAAAGAGACACAGGGGAAGTAGAAGAGCGAGACGTGTCACGTGCCTTTCCCTATCTCTTCCCAAAAGGCCGTACTGAGAACAGACAATAAACAAATTCAGTGCACCTTGGGGATAATAGTCCTGTTGGCTTCTGCAATAGACAAAAACACAACACATACTGGGTCCCCAGATGCAACTGATCCGCATCACCGATTGGCTGCAGCACGTCGTGGGGCAACTTTCCTGTGAAATCCGACATTTTTATGTACCTGTGCACAAAGTTGAAGGCTTTTGTTGTATGAAGTGGCTGAATGGTTGGAACCATTTATTTGTAACTCGTAACCACAAAACCAGTCAAAAGGGTCAACTTTTGAAATTGAGGTTTAGACATCATTTGAAATACGATTTTGTCATGAAATATTTGAAAATCTGAAATCTAAGGGTTAAAAGAATGTAAATGTTCAGAAAAGTCTCCTTTTAAAGTCAAAATTAGGTTCTTAGCTATGCATATTACCAATCAAAAATTAAGAATTTGATGTACTTGAAGGAAATGTAAAAATTTCTTCATGAAAGTTGATCTTTATTTAATATTCTATTTTCTGTATCATTTTGACAATGGATTTTTGGGTTTTCCCACATATCTGAACGTGTAACATTGGACTGGTTTTGTGGTACAGTTACATTTTTAGAAAGACTTAGAAAGGATAGTCCATTCAGAAAGTTTTTTCACCCTTATATTGTTCCAAACCTGTATGACTTTCTTCTGTGTTTAATGCACACACAATATTTAAAAGAATGTTCTTACAGTTTTTTTCATTCGCTTTGGTGCATTTCTCACTACACTATTTACTTTTGCACAACAGGTAATGCATTTCTCAAAACAATTAGTCATTTGTGCACATCCTAGTAGCAGTTTCTCATTCTTTTCAACAAATTGCGAATGCTTTTGGACATGCATCAATTGCTTTCCTACAACTCTGCTGTGTAAAACATTATCATCTGCTTATGTCATGTCAGTCAAAATGAACTAAACTTGTGAATGCTGAATAGTCATTCCATTTAAAACGAATAATCCTCATTTCATTACTTGAGTCATTACATACAAAAATGTTGAACTTGATGTCAAAATCTGTCAAGCTATTTTTTTTAACAAATTTAAATCTTTATTTTCCTGAAAATGTCTTTAAAATTGAACAATTTGATGAATGATTTACAGACCTGTGTATGTTGTAGGCTCAGTTCCAATATGTTCTGCAGTATTGTTTACAGTTGTGCACAGCTCTACCCAAAGGAAGCTTATGTTTGTTGTAAATAAGGGTGTGTTTATTCTTTTGCACAATCCTGGGAATAAATTAGGATTGCAAAGAGCAAATGCAGTAAAAACGTGAAACATACATATTCAGTGTCTTGTACTTAAATACCTCACTAAATGCAGTGATGTCTCACTTTACTGTAGTTTTCAAATGGCTGTACAAATAGTATACAGTGCTGTCTTGAGCATTTTCAGGAAGTTTCACCAAAATCAGACTTTTTTTGCATTGAAAAAATGTCCAGAGTAAACTGTCATAATGAAAACATGACAAAGCCATTTGACTACAATGGTGTCAGGACTTTTCATTTTGATGACACTGACTCTTTGATTGACATGAATACTTGCTTTTGAGGAATGAACTATCCATTTTGAGCATGTGACGCGCTTTTGCGGGTTATCAGCTTGGTTTTGCACTTATTGTTTTGAGAAAATCATTAAATGTTGTGCAAAAATGCACTAGTGATGTTAGAAACGCACCAAAGCGACTGAGAAAAACTAACAGTTTTGGTTCTTATTGATTTCTCTTTTTTTTTGGACAAAAATACAATAGAAGTCAGTGGGAAACAAAGAGTATCTTAATTTGTGTTAAAAAAAGGAAATGCATGCATACTGCTCAGGGTTTAGAACAACAGAGAGTGTACATTTTTGGGTGGACTGTCTTTTTAGATGTGATTTCACAATCACTTTTTAACAGGCCTATCAACAAATGATTTATTTTGAACTGTACAGGAGAAAAAGAGTTCTACTGAGACGTTATAGAAATACTTGATATGCAATTGCCGTTATGATAGCTGCTTTACTATTTTAGAAGGTGAGTCATAAGTTCACAGGTACACTGTGCTTCTGTAGCTGCAGGCAAATAGAAAAGGGTTGAAAACCCTTTTGAGATGGAGATCTTATTACATCAAACCTTAGTAGGTAAAAACATTATATTGATCAGTGATAAACTAGTGTAAATCCATCTACTGGTAGTTCACCTTAAATAGGCAAGGGGAACCATCTTGAAATAATAAATAATTCAAGAATATTATAATTCTCCCATAAATTACTCACCCACAAGCCATTTTAGCTGTACGTGGCTTTCTTTCTTTTTCAGATGAACACAATCAGAGTTCAAATCCTTATTCAAAATCCATTCAGCTGTGGGTCTGGTGCTATAACCATCTAGCTCTTTTTTTTCTTTCTTTTTTTTAAAGTGAAATGCTAATGATCTAATTCAATTCAATGAACCCAGAGATCATTGTAATGGGTTAAAAAAACTCAATGTTTTAACTCCAATTAAACCAATTTTTTAAAAAATGAAGTGTTCCATTAAATAACATTCTGGCTTTTTCAGCTTTGTAATGTCAATGAGTGATGTTCTTAAAGCATATAAAAGCACTTCAGTCCATCACTAAATTAATCCATACTGCAGAGGCCTAATGAGTGTCTTCTGAACCAAATCATTCATCCATCCTTAAATTAATCCATACTCCAGAGGCTTAATGAGGGTCTTCTGAACCAAACCAATAGGTTTTTGCAAGAAAAATCCCAATTCTCTGTCTACGCAACATGCTCCTCAGCAAAGGTTAGTGTAGAGTTGTTTAATTTTTTTCAGTTTTCAGTCCAAATTATCTTAAAAATCACGACACTGTACAGATTCCAGCAGCAGTGTTGAATTGATTGTCTGCTGTGATTCATTATCCTGTCCCCTCATGCATTTGTCTGTTGTGGATCACCAGCCTTTTTTGGGGGGACTTGAATGAGTCACTGATATTGAACTGATAGAAATAACTGAATTTAAATGACCAACTTATCTTCTTATTTCCCAGAGATGGGTTGCGGCTGGAAGGGCATCCGCTGCGTAAAAACTTGCTGGATAAGTTGGCGGTTCATTCCGCTGTGGTGACCCCAGATTAATAAAGGGACTAAGCCAACAAGAAAATGAATGAACTTATCTTCTTAATGCTGAAAGTGTCATCCTTTTGGCCTTTTAACAGTTTAAAAAACAGTTTATAAATGAGTTTACAACGCCGAGGCAGGATCTTAATTATTTTTACTCTGTTAAATTCATCTGAAAAAAAAGAGGCATATACAGCTTGCAAAGCTTGAGTGTAAATTTATGGGATAAATGTGATTCTGAACGATATATACAGTGATGTGAAAATGTTCTGACATGTTTCCCTATAGGGACATTAAAATTGTGATTTTGGCAGGTCTTAAAATCTGAAAGATGAAACCTCAGATAAACAACAACAAATAGCTTTAACAAAAATAAGTCAGACATGGCTTATCAAAAGTTTTTTAGCTGTTTGTTGGTCTGGAGCTTCAGGTGTGTATGAACACAATGTTGTCCAACAGGTAAAGATTAGACAAAATTGGGACCTGCAACAAGTCAATGATCTCAAGCACAATCAAATCTGCAACAGAACAACTAAAGAAAACTAAAAGAAAATTCTAGAGTTTTCAATAGTCCAGATCTTTGTCATCCATGGCTTTTCTATCTTAGTTTTATTTTTGTTAAATAAATAAATTGCATGTTGTGAGATGTCACGTGATGATGCTCATCTGAGGACTTTATCTTCCAAATTTTAAGATCTGCAAACGATCATGTCATTGTTATGTCTTGATAAAAAACAAACCATGAAATTCAATAAGCTGGCCTAAACTTTACATTACTGTATACACAGAATATATAGACCACAGCTATGTTTGTAATGGAATACTACTTTACTATTGCCTATTATTCTTTAACTAATTAAACAATACATTACTTTAAGTTGTAAATTATAACTTTGGCCTTTATATGAAAATGTTTCATATTTAGGTAGTCTAATTAAATAATGACTAAGATGAAATTCTTTAAGCTGTACTCTTTAATTTAACTGGAAATGAAAACCATACCCATTGTAGTAAAATGTAGTAGTTGAGGTATCCTGAACATTTGCTGGAAAAGTACAGAAGTATTCTATTACAAACATAACAGATGTGACTAAAATATGGCGTCTTATAATGTGATTTCCTTCTAGAACATTATTAATCATTAGGTAGACGACTTGCGTTAGATTTACAGCAGGCTGTTATTATTTTTGTAATGTTTTCATACCGACTGCTGGTTTGATTTGTAAAGTGCAATATGTATCTACTAAAATGTGCCTATTTTTACAGTCTGGTTTTTATACTTATTGTGCAGTATAAATATAATCCCTTTTGTTGAAAACTAATTCGTTTCTGCATTTCTTGTCTGTAATCGCATAC